TATGACCAGTGCATTCTCTTGGCAAAACTCTGTTAGCCTTTGCCCTGCTTCATTTTGTACTCCAAGACCAAATGTGCCTATTGATATTTGACTTAACAAATATACTTGACAAATAGCAGTTCAGTTCCGTCGTTCAGTCATGTCTGACTCTTTGGGACCCAATGAACGGCAGCATGCCAGGCCTCCCTGTCCATCACCTACTCCCAAGTCCACCTAAATACTTGTCCATTGAGTCGGTGATGCCAACCAACCATCTCCTCTGTCGCCCACTTCTCCTCCTGCCCTCAATCTTTCCCAGCATTAGGGTCTTTTCAAATGAGTCAGCTCATCACATCAGGTGGCCAAAGTATTGGAGATTTTAGCTTCAACATCAGTCCTTCCAATGAACACCCAGGACTGATCTCCTTTAGGATGGACTGGTTGGATCTCCTTGCTGTCCAAGGGACTCTCAAGAGTCTTCTCCAACACCACAGTTCAAAAGCATCAATTCTTCTGTGCTCAGCTTTCTTTATAGTCCAACTCTCACATCTATACATGACTACTGGAAAAACCAGAGCCTTGACGAGACGGACCTTTGTTGGCAAAGTAATGTCTCTGCTTTTTAATATGCTGTCTAGATTGGTCATAACTTTCCTTCCAAGGAGTAAGCGTCTTTTAATTTTATGGCTGCAGTCACCATCTGCAGTGATTTTGGAGACCCCAAAAATAAAGTCAGCCACTGTTTCCCATCTATTTCCTACAAAGTGATGGGACTGGATGCCATGATCTTAGTTTTCTGAATGTTGAGCTTTAAGCCAGCTTTTTCACTCTCCTCTTTCACTTTCATCAAGAGGCTCTTTAGTTCTTCTTCACTTTCTGCCATAAGGGTGGTGTNATTATCTGGGTCATAAAGATGTTTTTTGTATAGTTCTTCTGTGTATTTTTGCCATATCTTGTGCTTCTCTTAGATCCATACCGTTTCTGTCCTGTATTGTGCCCATTTTTGCATGAAATGTTCCTTTGATATTACTAATTTTCTTGAAAAGATCTCTAGTCTTTCCCTTTTTATTGTTTTCCTCTATTTCTTTGCATTGATCGCTGAGGAAGGCTTTCTTGTCTCTCCTTGCTATTCTTTGGAACTCTGCATTTAAATGGGTATATTTTTCCTTTTCTCCTTTGTCTTTCCCGTCTCTTCTTTTCACAGCTATTTGAAAGGCCTCCTCAGACAGCCATATTGCCTTTTTGCATTTCTTTTTCTTGGGGATGGACTTGATTCCTGTCTCCTGTACAATTTCATGAACCTCTATCCATAGTTCATCAGGCACTCTGTCTATCAGATCTAGTCCCTTAAATCTATTTCTCACTTCCACTGTATAATCATAAGGGATTTGATTTAGGTCATACCTGAATGTTCTAGTGGTTTTCCCCACTTTCTTCAAAATTTAAGTCTGAATTTGGCAATAAGGAGTTCGTGATCTGAGCCACAGTCAGCTCCCGGTCTTGTTTCGCTGACTGTATAGAGCTTCTCCATCTTTGACTGCAAAGGATATAGTCAATCTAATTTCGGTGTTGGCCATCTGGTGATGTCCATGTGTAGAGTCTTCTCTTGTGTTGTTGGAAGAGGGTGTTTGCTATGACCAGTGCGTTCTCTTGGAAGAATGCTATTAGCCTTTGCCCTGCTTCATTCTGTACTCCAAGGCCAAATTTGCCTGTTGCTCCAGGTGTTTCTTGACTTCCTACTTTTGCATTCCAGTCCCCTATAATGAAAAGGATGTCTTTTTTGGGTGTTAGTTCTAGAAGGTCTTGTAGGTCTTCATAGAACCATGCAACTTCAGCTTTTTCAGCATTATTGGTTGGGGCATAGGCTTGGATTACTGTTATATTGAATGGTTTGCCTTGGAAACGAACAGCGATCACTCTGTCATTTCTGAGATTGCATCCAAGTACTGCATTTGGGACTCTTTTGGTGACCATGATGGCTACTCCGTTTCTTCTAAGGGATTCCTGCCCACAGTAGCAGATATAATGGTCATCTGAGTTCAAGTCACCCATTCCCAGTCCATCTTAATTCACTGATTCCTAGAATGTCGATGTTCACTCTTGCCATCTCCTGTTTGACCACTTCCAATTTGCCTTGAGTCGTGGACCTAACATTCCAGGTTCCTATGCGATACTGCTCTTTACAGCATCGGTCCTTGCTTCCATCACCAGTCCCATCCACAGCTGGGTGTTGTTTTCACTTTGGCTCCGCCCCTTCACTCTCTCTGAGTTGTTTCTCCACTGACCTCCAGCAGCACACTGGGCACCTACCGACCTGGGGAGCTCCTCTTTCAGTGTCCTGTCTTTTTGCCTTTTCATACTGTTCATGGGGTTCTCGAGGCAAGAATACTGAAGTGGGTTGCCATTCCCTTCTCCAGTGGACCACATTCTGTCAGAGCTCTCCACCATGACCGTCTGTCTTGGGTGGCCCTATATGTCATGGCTCATAGTTTCACTAAGTTAGACAAGGCTGTGGTCCATGTGATCAGTTTGATTAGTTTTCTGTGACTGTGGTTGTCATTCTGTCTATCCTCTGACAGATAAGGATAAGAGGCTTATGGAAGCTTCCTGATGGGAGATATTTTCATATCTGTTCTAAAAAGTACTTTAAACACTCATAAGAATGCCCAATGGGCATCAAGATGAAATGCAATCAGTTACCATCTCATGAAAACTAACCACATTTAGCAAATATTAATATGTGTCCTCTTAAAGCATGTATTAGTATATGATACAAAACAAAGTCAAAAATACTGTAATATTAGATTAATATATAAAATAAAACCGTTATTTGAAATCTAGAAAAATGGTATAGATGGTCTCATTTGCAAAGTAGAAATAGAGACACAGATGTAGGGAACAAACATATGGGCACTAACGGGGTCAATGGGGTGGGATCAATTGTGAGATTGGGATTGCCATATATACACCGCGTGCGTGCAAAGTTGCTTCACTCATGTTGATTCTTTGTGACCCTGTGGACTGTAGCCCACCAGGCTCCTCTATCCATGGGATTCTCCAGGCAAGAATAGTGGAGTGGGTTGCCTTGCCCTCCTCCAGGGGACCTTCCCGACCCAGGTATCAAACACACATCTCTTGTGTCTCCCACACTGCAGGCAATTCTTTACCACTAGCAGCGCCCAGGAAGCCCTAGATATACACTGACAGAAAAGTGAAAGTGAAGTCACTCAGTCGTGTCCGACTCTGTGCGACCCTGTGGACTGTGGCCCGCCAGGCTCCTCTGTCCATGGGATTCTCCGGGCAAGAATACGGGAGTGGGTTGCCATTTCCTTCTCCAGGGGATCTTCCTGACCCAGGGATTGAACCCAGGTCTGCCTGCCTGCATTGCAGGCAGATGGTTTAACCTCTGAGGTATAAAATAGACAACTAAGAAGAAGAACCTATGGATAGCACAGGGAACTCTACCTGGTGCCCTGTAGCGACCTAGATGGGAAGGAAATCCAAAAACAGGATATGTGGGGGATCTGTGTACATGTGGCTGATTCACTTTGATGTACAGCAGAAACTGACATGGCAGTGTAAAGCAACTCCACTCCAATAAAGAACATAAAGTGAAACGAAAAATAAGATAAAGCCATATCAGGAAATACACCATGGTGAAACCAGAAGCATGTTGGTAAAAGGACATTACTGTACAAATATTTATGCAGGATTCAAAACAGGATGATACTGTAAGCCAAGTGGAAACTGTTACGTGCTCCTTGGAAAAATCCTGATTATATATATAATACATGCTTATTAGAAGGGCTCTCTCCCTGTTTACAGGAAGAGAATGCACTTCCTGAATACGTCAGAAGAATGAAAAGCTTTAACAAGACACAGGCATACATTTTCTGATCTAATAAATAACAAAAAGGAAAAGTAAAGAAATGGGGAATGAAGAACTACATATAAAAACATCAATTCTTTTGGGAAGGGAGCTTATTAAAAAATAAGATTATAGACACTCCAATTTACCATTCAAATAGAGATATACAAAATTAATCTAAGTGCCTTCAGATATTGAAGTTATTAGGAGAAAGCTTATAATTTACAAAAGTTTCTAATTTGCAACAAAAGTGTAAAATTTACAAAAAGCACCCATTGTCTCAGCTCTTAAATATGCTAAAGTTTTGAGTTCTAATATATTTCATCTTAAATTGTCTTAAGTAATACGCAATGGCTGGTATTTTTTTAAAAAATCATAACTGTCTTTGGATCTTCTAAAAGTGATTTGCCATATTTTCATTATATTCTTATAAAAACTTGGTAGTGGCCTGGATATTATTATTTTAACATGTCTAGTTGCATTGTAATTCTGCAAAAGATGTTTCAATGACCTAATATTTACACATATCTAAGACGGTCACTGTGTTAAAAGAAACTGTCAAGCGTGGCAATATCTTAATCTGGAAATGAGGTTAAGAAGTATATTAAGTATATTTTAGATAATTTGCGTTCCTTTAAAGTCAGGAAATTAAAGTTATAGAAAATTCTGGTTTTTGCATACTTAAAATATTGAAGTAACACACTTCCTCTTTATTTTTTCAGTATTTTTTCAACTACTAATCCATTCTATCCGTATTGTCCGCACATATCAGGAATTTAGTAAAGATCTTTGCACCAGTGACTGAATAGTTCAGTGCCCTAAGGATAAGGGGAGGCAAACACTCAGCCACTAAGGAAAACAGAGGTTTTTATAACCTTTCGAGGGCAAGTGAGGAAACAGTAACGGAAGAACGGGGCTAACTGTAAACTTTCCCTTCTGCCCAGGGATCCTGCGTCTCCCCAGGCCGGCCCCGAGTCCCGCTCATCCCTCTCCCGAGGCTGCGGGGTCCCCAGCACGCATCTGCCTCCACGACGACACATCAGTGCGGTCCCCCACAAACCACCCTGCGCCTGACCGACATCTCGGCAGCACGACCTCCGTCCCGGCTCCCGCGCCGGCTCCCACGACACAACCAGCCCCTTCACAGGATCACCTCCTCAGACGCGCGGTGTGGCCGGAAGCGCTTAGCCGCCTCAGACGCGACCAAGCCAGGCAACTGCCCCAGGGCCACCGTGGCGGGCCCTCGGTTTTCCTGAGGGAAAATCCGCTCCGTTACCAAGGACGCCGGAGAGGTGCGCATGCGCCCGTGCAGAGGACAGGAAGCTTCTGGCGCCACCTGCCGGCCACTGAAGGCCGATCAGGACGCTCAGGGTCAATAGTCGGAGGACATGCGCCCCCTCCTGGACGGGATGCAAAGCCACTCAATGTACTTGTGCCTCAGCCTCTCCGCTGATGGAGCTGGTGATACCCTGCTCCAGCCATGCCGGCTTTCCTGCCAGGGACATGCCTCATTCTTTGGAGCCACAGCCTGAAGAACAAGAGCGTCATCAGTCTTTTAGGCCACTGGAAAGTAAAACTTATTCTCTCCCTAGAAAAGAGATGCCCATTTCCACCATCACATTCTTTGCTGGATCGTCAACTTATTAAGATACATAGTACAGCAACTCTGATTGGAATAAAATCCTCCGTGGTTAACTACGATGCAGTCTTGATCATAATCACAAATAACTGAAGCAGAAGATAAAAGTGGAAAACTCTGGACTTGTCTCAATTTGGAAACTGAGAGCCAGAGATGACTCCAAGAAGGAGACAACTATCTGAAGCACTGGGACACAGTTGTCATGCCTTGGACCTTGCCAGCAAGAGGCTCAAACTGTGTTTTTTTCTCACTTAACAATTTCTCTCAAAATACAAAGAAATAAGGAAGAACATTATGCTCGTGACCCTCTCTATTCAATTGTATTATTACATATAAGAAAGTAATCTGAATTCATACCAGCTATAAAATATCTGGAAACAAAATAATAATCATAGATCTAAAATATGATACATCTTGGGAATTCCCTGGCTGTCCAGTGGTTAGGATTTGGCTCTTTCACTGTCGAGGGGCCAAGTTTGATCCCTGGTCAGGGAACTAAGATCCTGCCAGCCAAAAAATATATGTTCATATATGATACATCTTGAATATCCAAAAAATAGGATGGAAAGTGACCACCCCTCTAGGGAGCCCCCAGCTTCCTCCTAGGGGGTCTTCTCCTCCACTTGTTTCAACTCCCGCAGCAAACCCTGCTCTCAAGAAGGGAACGGGGCAGCCCACACAGACTGGATCCAGGAGCTGTGATGCTCTGCTATGGAAAACAGACATTGGCCTGCTTCCCTCCTGCCTGGGATGAGTTACCTTATGCCAGAAGGAGGGCTGAGGCCACACACAGCCCAAGCTGACGACCCCTCTGAGAGACCCAGGGCAAGGGGACTGGCACAGTGTACACGTGTGAAGCCCGGGACTGCCCCCTCTGGGTTATGTGTCCGCCCATCAGGCCCATCATTGTGGCTGCCCCGGACCATGTGCCTATTGTCGCAGCCAGGGCGTGGATTCTGAGATCCTGGCTTCAGTGGGATGGAGTGATGTGGACAAGAGGGCAAGACTCCACCCACAACCCCCACGCCCGTACCTGTCCAGGAGAACCGGGCAGCGTCAGCAGAGGTGTGTGTTTAGAGGAGGCAGCGGGGGGGCCAGGCTTTGGTGGGGGACTTACAAGTGGATTCTTTGACTGTAGTGCTGGAACGGAGCAGGACCATAGCCCCCCCACCCCCCACCCCGCACCGTGTCCTCTGCCTGCCTTTTGCCAGTGGAAAACTTTAGTCAAACTGTAGGTTTAATCAGAGATGTGAGAAATGCAGAAACAGAGGAAAACAGTCAAAGGAGACTAAATAATAATAACGTAGTCATTAAACATAGTCAAGGACCTTCGGTTCTTTCTCAAGGGCTATAGATAATATTCTGAGCCATATCCTGTGAGCTGTCTTATAGATACCAAAACCCCAGGTGGAGGAGTTAATTACATGATGACCATATTCAGGACTTGAGCCGCCACAGTTCTGAGAACGGACCACGAAGAAGTGGGAACAAGTGCACCCCGGAACTGAAAATTAACTGGACCTAAAACAATCAAGATGATGCTGGTCAGACCACCGATAACAAATCTGAAGATGACTGTTGGAGATGACTGCGTTGTTTCTTCCTGTAACACGGCCCCCCTCGCAACCCCCTACCCGGCAACTCTGTCTGTACAAGCTCTCATCCCCCGCTTGACAGGGGCAGAGAGGGGGCCTTTGACAGATGTCCGCCACCCTGCCCTGCTCTGAAATAAAACAAACTTTCCCCCAACCTGACCTGTTTATTGCCTTTTGAGTGGAGAGCAGCCAGACCCACGAATTCCTTTCAGTAACAATACCAGACAGAGGCCAGCAGAGGGAGGTGTAGTGATTTGCTGGGATTTTGTGGCATCCTGCCAAGTAGACAAGCCTTGGAAAGCCCCATATATTCCCAGTTGGGACCAGTTCTGTGGGTGGCAACCTGGGGTGAGTGGCAAGGGAGGGAAGAGTAACAGAAGGGGTCTTCCCTTTCTCTAGCACTGCCTAGCCAGGCCAGACTGCCTGAGGCGATGGAACAGGTGGGCTGAGAGCCCCAGATCCACAATTCTCCCACTCTGTCTGGTCCCCACTGATACTTCCCCCAGAGAGGCATTTTCTGGTTCCCCGCTCACCATCTCAATGGCTTGGCATTCTGCAAAGTCTCTAGGAAATATCTGAGATAGATTTGTGAAACCCTTTAAGAAGAGCACCCAGGATACCAAGCGGTGAGATTATGAAGTTATGTACCCATCACAGTTATTTTATACCCATCAAAATAGCAAATGTTAGCAGGAGGAGAAAATCACATTTGGCAAGGATGTTGGGTAATGAAAACTCTGCTGGTGCTCGTGTCCACTGAGGGGTCATTCTGTGCAGCCACGGGCACGTGTAACAAATCTGAGTGTGTACATGTGCCCCTGACCTGGCGTCCAGGGAGCAGGTAATGTGCATCAGCCAGGGTGCTGGAGAACATTCCGCTCCGTCAGGCAAGTGGGAAGGCTGAAACTCATAAGGTTTGTGAAGTATAGGCAGATAAGACCTATGAGACAGATCCATAGAACACACTGTGAATAGAGATGAAAAGGGGTGGAGGGCCCAGAAGATGCTCAGAAGATGCTCCATTCCGTTTTCATGAGGCACAGACTATAAAACATTAGGCACATACAAGGCACATAATAGTCATGATCTGGATGCAGCTATTATTCGGTGACAGCCATTCTGCCCTAAGGGTCCTCTGCTACAGAAAGCCCAGGGCTGTTAATCAGACTGAATGTTGTGGCCAGACCTACTCATCCTTTGTTCTTTGACTCTCATAGGGTGAGTGTTTGCCCTCGGTCACCTGTCTGCTGGGACCCTGGCTCAAACCTCAACAGTTGCACTAACAATTCACCTTCTTTGGAAAAGGCTAGTGCCAGAACGAGTAAGAAGGAAAAGACAGGTGAGGACCACATGCCAAGATCCAGGTGTACATACCTCCCAGCCTCTTGTTTGGCATCCTAGGTCTGCAGGTGAACCCACTCCGTCTCTCCCGCCCACCTGGTCTTCTCGCTGTGTGCTTTAAATTGACTTACTAGTCCGTGCGATCCAGGCGTCTAATTTGGCCTATGAGCCTTTCTATTTTGTGGACTCTGGCTGAGCCTGTTTGGTGTTATGCTTGGAGGCATCCAAGACATAAGGGCTCACATGACAGACATGGATTAAGATATTCATCAGTGTGGCTGGTGGTAGGTTGTGGGTTCTGGAGTGACCTATTGTTCATCACTCAGGTGAAGAAATAAAATGCTGCGGATGAATAACAGAGCCATTGAAAGCAATAAGCAGCAATGAACTTGACTATTTAAAGTTTTCTTATTGGGACCCTCAGTAAAGAATACTTTTTACAACGCAACCTATATCTGTCGATCTATTTTTTATTAGTATTTTTTTAACATTTTATGTATTATTTTTGGCTCCACTGGGTCTTTGATGCTGCATTCGGGCTTCCTCTAGCTGCAGCAAGCAGGAGCGACTCTTCAGGTGCGGGGTGAGGGCTTCTGGTGTCGGTGCTTCTCTTGTTTCAGAGCGCTGGCTCTAGGCAGCAGCGGCCTTCAGTAGTTGTTGTGCATCGGCTTAGTTGCCCAGTGGCTTGTGAAGTCTTCCTGGACTAAGAATCGAACGCATGTCCCCTGCATTGGCAGGCGGATTCTTAACCACTGGACCATCAAGGAAGTCTAATCAATCTATTTTTGGAAAAAAATCCATGGAACAATGTGTGTGTGTTCAGTCACTAAGTCGTGTCTAACTGTGATCCCATGGACCATACCATGCCAGGCTCCTCTGTCCATGAGATTTCCCGGGCAAGAACACTACAGTGGGCTGCCATGCCCTCCTCCAGGGGATCTTCTGCACCCAGGGATTGGACCTGGGTCTCCTGTGGCTCCTGCATTAGCAGGTAGATTCTTTACAACTGAACCACCTGGGAAGCTCCCATGAAACAATATTTACCCTGATGATGTTTGAGGCACTCTGATATTGTCTTGTATATTGTATTCACTTCCTGTATATGGAGATTATGCCCCAACAGAATTGATCTCACCAGCCACTACTGGGACCCAACCTATTATGTATAAAACATTGAGTCAGATTTATACATATTATCAATAAGAATGGCCTCTCATGATGTTGGGTAAGAATGGTGGGAAATAGAACAAGATTTATAGCATAATGCCACTTAGGAAAGCAAAAATCACACACACACACACATAAGGATACACAATGGTAAAGGATATACATCAAACACATAGAGGCAGTCCCATTGGAGAAATGAAAAAAGGAAAAGAAATTCCAGGAGGATCTGGATGTTCAAGTGCTATGGTCTAAGAATGATTGGCTGGGCTCTGAACCTCAGTCCAACACAAGATGAGGGTGGGTCATTTACAGGAGAAGTTTGAGAATCACATGAATAGCCAGGAGATATATCGGAGTTGGAAAATGCTGCGTTTAGAATTCTTGAAATGTAAATAAACGATCAGTTCATGAGTTCAGAGACAAAATATCACGCAGAGCAAAGCTTGAAGAGAGGAGGAAGGGTCCCCTCACCATGCACGAGTTGATACCAGATGGAAAGGAGGCAGTCGGCTTGGAGGCTGGCAAAGAGGAGAGTCTGAGAGGCCTGGCTGGACAGTGTACCCTCCGCACACTTCAGGGGAGGGGCCCCGGATGGGGGGACACCATTATTCCAGGGGGGCGCTCTGTTGAGTGTACAGCCCCTGCCTCATTGCTTTCTTGCCCAGGGCCTCTTCTGCTCAGGAGCATGCCATGCCCCCAGCTCTTGGTTACAGCACTTTTGGACAAGATTGGACCCCTAGCCCCAGAGTGACCTCCTCAGGCCATCTGCTTCCTTTACATCGAGCAGCCTCACTTTTCTGGACTAAGGAGATTCTCTCTCAGGAACCTGAACCAGGACGGGGACAATCACGGCCATGGGGGTGAAATTGCAGCAGAAGTTCTGAAATCTGAACAAGAGAGATGGCTGGGTCTCAAGCAGGCAGAGTTACAGAGAATAAAATCTGGGGCCTGGCAGGGAAGAAGTGGTGGAAACAGACCCTGAAGGTGTGGCTGGGTTATTTACCAGCACAACACAGGTCTGGGCTTATCAACTTGAATCCTACAAGGGCCAGGCATGCAACATGGTGAAGTGAACAGATCTGAGGGTAAGATTGGGGGCCCCAGAGAGAACAGTCCGTTCAAAAGCGTGCTTCCTCAGTTGATAAGTTGTGCCCGACTTTTTTGCAGCCCCATGGACTGTAACCTGCCAGGCTCCTCTGTCCATGGGATTTTCCAGGCAAGAATACTGGAGTGGGTTGCCATCCAGGGCTGCCCTGCTCCAGGGCATCTTCCTGACCCAGAAATCAAA